GAGTTTGTATTGGCAGTCTGTCATTGCAGGTGGTCTGGCAATGGACGTCCAAAATTGGTTGCGCGATTTCATATTGCACAAAAAACGAGCCATGGCCATGGACAATCGCAGGATGCAATTATAACCCTTCGTGAGCTCAGATGATACGGTAGTCAACTTCATTCTGGCTCATTCTAAAAACTGCATTACAGAGGTGATAATCCTGGATGGGTGGTATACGAGATGGGAGATCCATGTACAACTGACGCCGACTGCAAATGCGCTGACTGCATTTGTAGCAAAGATGAGGCCCTTTGCATACCTCCAGAATACGTTCCTATTCCAGCAGCTCCCACTACAACAACAACGACCACAAAGAGACCAACAACAACCGTTGCGTTGCCTAATGGTGAATTGTTGAACTAGCAGTTTCACAAAGTGCTCTAGCTTAAGGTATCCGATACAAAAAGGTAGTCCTTCAGCTGGGTCATGCCCTGAACTTAATAATGGAATGACCGATGAAGCTAGAAAGATGTTCGTCGACAAGCACAATGAGTATCGGTGAGCTTCAAGAAGCGAACTAGCTGTGGAAGTGAATATTGATTAGGAATTGTCTAGATCGCTTATTGCTAAAGGACAGGCCAAAGGAAAACCTGGACAAATTGCTCCAAAAGCAGCTAGAATGTTGAAAGTGGTATGCTGTAGTGTTGCTACATACAGTATCACATCCTAAGTCACACAACTGAAACTTTCTCTAGGGCTCCAAAATTGATGAAATAATAAAGAAAGGATATTACTCTTTCGCTTGAAATGGTGGTCTGTTATAGAACTACGATTGCAATGTTGAAGCAAATGCGATGGAATGGGCCAAGGGTTGCACATTTGGAATGAACATGGCGGCAATGTTGAAGCGATGGGGGAACAATATGCATATGATACCATCCAAGACCAATAACAAGACAGAAGCTGCAGCAGCGGTTAGATTATTGCCTCAACTGCTTTTTTCTCGGAAACCAATACCAATTTCATTTCAGAGTGTCGCAGCTTGGTTCAGTGATTTACAGAAATATGGTGTACCTGACAGGAACGTTTTCACCATGAACATTTACACGACCTTGAGTAAATACAGCCAGGTGGGACCAACTTTTCTAACAGAAAATAAAAATGTGAGTGTTGGTGCTCCAGTTGGCGTGGCAATCGAGTAACAGGATTGGTTGTGTAGTTGTACCTTGCTGGGAGTCTTGGACGGTTGTGGTATGTGAATACAATCCTGGGTAGGTTCATCCGAAATATAACAAATTGAAGAACTTATCTCGATGCAGTTTTTCACTGGGTTTTTTTCAGAGGAGACCTGCCTGACGAAAAAATCTATGACGAAGGAGATCCCTGCAGAAAGGACGCCGATTGCCAGTGCCCCGGATGCATCTGTAGCAGGGATGAGGCACTTTGTATTACTCCATGAAAGCATTAACAATAAAATTTTCATAGTAGAAATGTGTTAATGCTTGAGCTTGTCGATTGGAGGTTATCCTACAGTTGAATGCCGCTTCATTGCACTTTCCGAATCTTGTTTTGAAAAAAACTTTCTCAATCGGCTGTAAAATGCAAACGATACCTTGTTACAAACGCTGCTTTAATATTGTCCATAGTGTTATGGCCTAATTCATCTTCTTCTTGGTTTTGGGGACGGTATAGAAAGTTGAGGATAGTGGAGGGGACTGATTGTGAGAGCAATGTTATCGAAATAGACGGCAAAACTTCTATGAGTCTGTGCTTTTAACTATAGCATTGATACAGGACCTTGGCTTGCTAAGTAACTTCTGTTGCACTTCCAACTGCTAAATCCCGAATTGTCACTACCTTGTAATTTTATGCTTGCGCTTTGATGCATCAAAAATATCGATGAAGGTTCTGTTGATTGAACGGAACTAGGAGCTTTCACAACGCTTCCAGATCAGACCGTCTTTATCCACATACTAAGAGTCTTTCAAAACATGCCTAATTGTTCCTCAAGTCCATAGGAATCGCTTCAAGCCCCTTTAATAAGGATTGATTGATTACTGTCGAATGTTTCCCCTCCCATAAAAGCTTACTTACCTAATTTTTGGCAGTTATAATTATAGAACATGGTTACAAGTTCCGTTTGAAAGCAGAGATAGTCTAGTGCTTAAGAGTAACGACTCTTGCCCTCAGAAAAACAACGAGTTCGATCCCTACCGAGGCAAAACTATGCCCAGATTAACAGGTCGATTGATCTAGAACTCTCTTCACAATAAAAAACTTGGAGTCCCATAAGGATGTTACTTGAACTCTTCTCTTAAAGGGGCAATTCGTTCGCGGTAGCATTGCTTGAGGGTGAGCCGTAGACAATTATTTAATTGGTTCGTTACTAATAGGAGGAAGGAAAAAATTCATTTGGCAACTTTGACAGTTAAATATCTCGGGGCTAAGGGCTTCGCTGCTGTTTGTCATACTCAAGTGCAGGCCTCAAAGTCTGCCTCAGCTCAATGATCTCAAGACAGCTGCTTTAACATGGCTTTTCGAAAATATTTTCTGTATTAAAAACTTGTTTTACCGTCTTTCCCATCTCTGTCATTACTACCGTTGGATTCACACAATTCACTCTGATTCCATGTGATCCTAGCTCCTTTGCAAGGCATCTGGTTGCCATATCCAAACCTGCTTTACTCGCACCTAAAAAATCTCTTCCAGTCGAAAAAATATTGAAGAGTCTTGAAGTGGGAAAGATCATCGACTCCATGGTCGCCCGTAGTGTTTAACTGAGGTGTGGAAGAATGAGCCTTTGAGCCCACTGTGGGGGTCTCAAACAAGCAGGGTTCCCCAACCATGAAAGTAGGGATCTAAATAGCTCGAGAGCAAAAAACTTCCTTCATTAGAATAAAGCAGCTTAGCAAGCTTGCTTGTCACTGTTGCACGAAAAACCCAGCTGAGGGGAGCCATTACCTTATGAATTTAAGGTTCAAGTGTGGAATGGTGGTTAAAAGTATTCAGTAAATTGTAGGATATCGCCGTTCAGGTACGAGCTGGACTGGTCCAGCGCCCAGATGAAAAGTCCCAGAAGAGTACGGAAATGAAAGAAACAAAAAGTGCAGAAACATGGTTTGTGCGAATTATTCCCTCACAAAATCAATTTTTTCGCTAAGCCCAAAGGGTCAATTCGTTCATTAGCTCACACGATTCCCCTACTCACTCGCCATTGTGCTTCAGGTAAGCAACCTTTCATTTAGGCTCTTATGTCCTGTCGCTAAGTCATGGTTGAAGACATGCTTTAAACATATAAATATTAATAAATTAGTTCACTGGAACTCACAATAAACAGTATGGTGATCTATTGGTCGCATTGACGCTTGTGATGAAATGTTCACGATAGAACCACGAATCGCATGGCGAACCATTTCATTGGCGACGATTTTGGCCAAAATAATAGGGGCTTTTAGATTGGTGTCGAACTGCCTAATTGTAAGAGATCATGGTGGGCCGAAAAGCTGATGCAATGGTCCTTGAAAACTCATAAATTGATAAATGCTCACTTGTTCATGGCTTCTTCACTTATTGTGAGACAGGACTCCAGCATTCCCACACCTGCGTTGTTGACCAGTAGGTGGAAAGGCTGATGCGGTGCCAGGAGTGACGACAATTTGGATTCAGGTAGCGTCACATCAGCAACAACAATAGAAATGTTATTATGCTGAAAACAAAGTGCAACATGACAAGTAATGGGATACGATTCGAAAAAGTAGCACTAGATGACATCAGCTTTGTACACATAGCTCGTGTACAAAGTCTCAAACGAGATCAGGGCCAAGAGCAAAAGCCTTCATTCGTCTTAAGTCCATAACCGATGAGTTTGGACGAATAAAAATGGGTTTCCTTATCCCAGGCCCCAACAGGTCATTGTATACTAGATACAACAAATGAAAAGAGCTAAAATGCTTCTGTGATTTCATGTATCCAACGCCTTCACGAAACAGTTCATGTAGACCTCATATATCAATCATTGCCCCTTTGGAATCTTGTAGGCACAGCCCACGATAATTCATAGGTACCCTTTTTGCGCTTAAAAGCGAAAGTGTTGATGTAAAGGAGTGCATCGGTAACTAAGGGAGCGGGAGAATCCGCCTTCTCCAAGGATTTTCAGAATGTCGAAGTGGAGGTTGTACGAGATCACCGTGACGAGAATGGCATGTAAAGGGTGATTGGACGAGATTTAGCTTGCTCCCATTGCGCAAAGAGATGGCTACGTCAAGTCCATAGGAGCCCCTTGAGATAGAGCAGCCTTTACAAATCCGTCCAAATTCGGCCACTATGGGTGTGGCATTCACACGAGACAACCTCTGTCCCCTTGATGTGCCCTATGCAATACGTTTTTCGACATTATAACGGCAGGTATGGTATAAGGGGAGCTTCAAATTCCTACTATAGGGATATCTCAGAAACCATTTTTATCGCGAACTGTGCCTTTGTGTACAACAATCGGAGACCCAAAGCAGAGCAATGGGTGACGGAATTTATGCCCAAATTTTTATGATCCCAACCGAGCACAGGTGTGACGAAAATTTGATATCAGGCCCGCCTTATCCCTCTTCGGTAACCGTAATCACAAGGCGTCGCAATCATTGAATCCCACCTCCCAACATAGCGCGCTCCAATCGCCCATCGAATCGTCACACGATGGGGTGAAGCGAGCGCAGCACGTCGCTAGGACATAAGCTCTTACATACCAAAATCATATTTTTGAAAAAACCGAAGTGAAAGTGCTCCCAAGGTCGACCCATAAGTATTAGGGGACGGTGAAGTGAATGAGCATGGCGTGGCTGGAAAACATCTAGAATTAAGGTACAAAACAATGTCCATTACTATTATAATTAGCGAGTAAGTCGGTGCTGATCCTACTGGGGACATAGGGCAATTGATTCGTTGCTAAAAGAAGCAAAGAAAAATGAGTTCGAACCTTTTTACGTAACTCTTCCAGCTTTGCTTTATTTCTGGCTAACGCTACTACTGAGGCCCCAGCTTCAGCAAGGGCTACAGCAATGCCATAACCGAGACCTTAAATGACGGTAATAAAAATATCACTACAATGAAAAAAATGGACAAAGAGGCAAGTCGTACTTCCCAAATTACCAAACGTATCATCATAACTAGAAGCTCAATAAAATAGAAAAGTTTGTAAATAAAAAAAGGGTTAAAGTAGATTGTGTACCTTGACTGGCTCCAGTAACGAGCGCTTTTTTACCGCTGAAATCGAACGATGCACTCATTTCAAGACAGATAGGCAATGGAAATTTATTCGACGTTTAGGCAATAGCTGGGCGGCCTTGATTGACTTTTGTTATCAATCATTGACTGTGGTTGACCAAACTATAGCAAACACTAACCATTGATCTTTCCGAGAACCAGTACTTCATACAGCAAAATGCCATGATTCGACCATTTGTTTGTTCGAAAAGGCTGTGATTGTTAAGGATAAGTGGTGTAGTGGCAAAAGGGGCACAATCATGCGCACGGCCTGGGGATCGAAACTCGGATCGATGTCTGCCCAGACCGACCAAGCCTTCCATCCGTGGGGTCGGGTCATAGGCATCAGACGCATCTGCGTGGATAAAAGCACTGACTAGCATCGACTGGCCATCGTAAATCACTGTATAGGCTACATACGCATTCAAACTGCCCCTGCGGTTCTGACTGGAAGTCGAATGTGGGGCGCATCCCAAAACTTGATTGACTAACGTTAAAGACTTTATCACGTATTATCCCCGGTTGGCACAATACATCTATCAGTTAGAATAGCTACCGTTTACTCTGTTATTGATTTTAACATTGACTCTGATACTGAATCTATTAGTACCTGATACTGGTAATGAAGACGCCGTGAGCGGCGCGACAGCGCTAGAACGTGCCTTTATACACCGCACCCACTCCTCACGCGCTGCGATTCCTGGCTAGTTGGTTAGTTGCCCTAGCTAGTTGATCTCGGTGCTGTATGTCTTTTGGGATCCCAAATAAGACTCTTTTCTTTGAGGCACCGACCAGCCCACTGTAAAGTGCTGGCTCTCTCTCTACACTGACCGTTTGTGCTCTACGAAAAGCAAGATTTATCTCTTACGGCTTTTGTGTTTTCAGTGAACGGATGGCTGACTTTGCCGACTGCTAGAATCAGAGCGATCTCTCAAAGTCTTTTGATGGTGCATATGCAAAGAGACCCTTGTTTGCGTCGGTCTTAACACTGAGTAAGTGGAAGTCGAATAAAAGGTGCATTCCAGTTTAAGATTTAACGGTGCTAGCTTTCTAGACTCCTCTCCATCTTTCTAGGAAGCCACTCAACAACTCAACAAAGTCAAAGTATTTATGGCAGTGGTTTTGAAATAACAGAAGATTTCCATTTGATCAAGCGCCATCAACAAAATAGAATAGTTAAAACTTTTCATATACACACATTGTAGTTGCACCCAGTTGGACAGCACATCTTCCCGCGACAATCACTATTTTGACGACACCAACTTGTGGGCGAGTTTACCTTCAATTTAATTACTGTCATTGAAAGAATTATAAATGTTGACATAAACATTCTGTAGTTATTCACTTACGTAGCACTTGAATCCCATTTGTACAGTTGTTGGGCATTCCATTTGGGATCGCTCGCAGCACAGTTGATAATTGGTATCTATACATATCTAAACTCATGATGTTTTTGAATCAGTGTTGAATTCGAAAAAAAATATATTTTTGGCACCATCCTACGATTGGTTTGAGGCAATCTTAGAACGATTCGTGAAAGTCTCTTCACAGCCATAGCCGCTTCACTTTCCGCCGCTCTTCAAAACCATCTACTGCTAGGATGTTCACTTACTTGTTTTCCTGATTTTATTTATTACCTGTTCCCGATTAATGTGACTTGAAAATGTTAATTTACGTGTAAAGGGTTTGACGATGTTGGAAATACAAACCAGTATCAATATGCGTATGTTTTGCCTTACTGTTTCAACACCGACACCCTTCTTTTTTTAGCTTTTTCAGCTTTGTGGCTAAGTCATTTTAGCTCGTCAGTACTCATCTATTTTAATCGGCTCAATCAATGTTCCAGTCAACCTCTTTTTAGAGCAGCTACACTTCCCTATTGTTCAAGGAAATTTGAATGATCCCGTAAACCTTACATTCCCTGAAGAACAGCGTCTGCTTGGTCTGCACGTTGTCAGGAGGTACTTGGTCTTACAGACTGGAGTAAGATCTGAAATGAAAGGTCGCTATGGTCCTATACAGTGTACTTTGACTGCAAACCTTGTAGCGAATCTCTATTTCTGAGCGATCGCCATGGAAATGGTTTCTGATAGCAGGTTGCTGCCGACAACAGCATAGAAATCATCAGGACGTGTGCACTTGACGCCATTTTAAGTAGTGGAATCGCCAAAACTGGAAAGTAAGTTAACTCGTATTACAGGCTCATGGCAAGACTGGATATAAGGAAGTAATCGGTTTCTGTAAAGCTCTGTCTTCCCTTTTTCGAAATTAACCTCCCACTTGACTTCCATTCATAATCGCACTGCCTTACACAATGGCTAGCGTTGTCAAGCCAATGTGCAAGTCAACGCTTTTATCCTTCAAACAAGCCCGGTACGAACTGATTGATCTGAAGAGATGGTAGCCATTCGGCCGACTTGGCTCGATTCGGAGTTTCCCCGCGTGAACCATGCGTGTGTGGAGTGTGCTACTTGTCTCCTACATCACCTCCGTCCCGATATCCAACATAAGGAACTTTAATTAGCAAGAAAATATGCTAGGTAAAACTTGAATAACTAAGTTCACAAAATGATGGCTGGAAATGGCTCAATCCGATAATTAAAGGCACATAAATGTGTATGTTCGAATGAACCGATGAAATTTCAGAAAAGAGGATTTTGCGAATAAACCCTAATAAGAAACAAATACGCCTCAGATCGACTGAGTGGGGAGAACTCTCTAAATACGTGGCAAATAGTACTGGAGGAGCAGGCCACTGACTGGCTATTGAATGTCCATACATTGCCCAATAAACATTGAAAGGTAATCGGACAAGGGTGAACGATACCTTCTATGGTAGGAAAGCACTTCAGCCTGCTCTCCACAGAGCTGCAACAATAGGGAAGCCCATGTAGTTGTATGCGAGTGCCCACTGTTGACTTTGTTATAACCCTCTTGGAAAGCAGCTTTAAGATGAGCCTGCACTCACAGTTGAATAATATTTAAGCAACACAGCCCTACCACAGTGATTGGCATTTTTGGCTTCGATTTTTCCAAGCAAACCGATCCTGGTTTTCTAAAAAGGAATTTGAAACTAAGCAAAAATAAAGAGTTGGTGTTAACAAATAGATTATTTATAAACGTAAAGGTGATCCCTTTTGCCTCTGCCCCTCTGAAAACACAAGAAACACAAAGATAGCACTCAGAAGTAGACACTGGAAATTAAGGTTGAATGTACACGGAGATCTGTAGCAACTTCATCATTCTAAGTGGTAAGACAGCTAATACCGTCTTCCTCTCGAGCTTTATACCTATTGTCATGAGCATGCAAGCACACAACCTTTGTGGGGTTCCAGGAGAAAATCTGGACTGTTTTTTTT